TTCAGATGCTCATTCCTGTCTTACCAAAGGGCAGTTTCCATTGTTTCTCTGCAGTATTTTGGGCTGATCAGATTAGTTGAGCAGAAGCCTTAAATGGAAATTTGGGCATATCCTTTGCTAACAACTCCTACTCATCTTTCTGATTTCCATATCTTTTCACAGAGCTTCCTTTCATCTCAGCTCCCCACTCAGCTGGATGGCTATCCACTAACCCTGAGATATATAGCTAGTTTGAATTGGTGGAAACTGTAATCTGACTGGGTATCTATATATATAAAAGGTTAATATGCAAAGTGCTCCCTCAGTAGTTCAACCTGAAGACCAGAAGTTCAATCACTCGCTCTAATGTGTGCTGACCAACAGGGAGAGGAATGGAACAAAGGAAGGCCCCGGCCAGCAGCCAGAAGGCCCCAATTGGCCCTGATCGCCCCCCAGGCCCAGGGACCTTACCTGTGCACGAATTTCGTGCACTGAGCCTCTAGTAAAGCATAAACAAAGATGCCAATCTGTGCTTTTCTTCACTGAGGACTTGCTTTCCTAGCATATCCCCCCAAGTTATTCCAGATGTAGCCGATTTTTCTCACAAACAGGATTCTCACCTTCAGAATGATCAAGTTACCCTTCTCTTGCCTTTTCCACTGTTGAAAGCAATCCAGCTGTCTCTAAAGATAAAAATGAAAACAAACATAAAAATAAACCACTCTTACATTGCAAAGAGTGGAGAAAATTGGCCATATTAAAAATTTCCAACAGATGGTGAGCCAATTTATATTTTTATTTTGACATTTACTTGCCCAGTAGGAGTACAATTGAGCCATATTTTTAAGCTCATTCAAAGTGGCCTTTATTTGAAAATGTTGGACACATATGTATAGATAATGCTTTCCACCAATCCACACAGTGTAATGACCCTGGAATGCTAGTTCTCTCTCCCCTAATCAAGAGCCACTCAGGATAGGAATCTTCTCCCTGAAAACTTTGGCCTCCTACTGTCCCCACTTCCTTCCATCATTCCTCACTCAAGGCCATTTTCCACAGGGCTGGCAAAGGAATCTTCCTGTAATCTAAATTTGATCATGCCAGCTCCTTGCTTAAGATCAACCTTTCAATCACTCCAAACGGCCCCCAGAATTAAGTTAAAACTCTAGTATTAGCCCTGAACGGTGTGGCTCAGTTGGTTGGGCATCCTTCCATGCACCAAAAGGTTACAGGTTCAATTCTGGACAAAGGACATGTCCAGGTTTCTAGCTCCATTCCTAGTACGGGGTGTGCAGGAGGCAGCTGATCCATGTATCACTCTCATATTAATATTCCTTCCCTCTCCCTTCCACTTTCTCTAAAATCAACTTAAAAAAAATTTAAAGTATCAGTATATTGGAATCATCTAGGGCAGTGGTCAGCAAACCTAGGCTCTGTTGACTAATGAGTTTGCTGACCACTGTATATACTACCCTTTACCTCTTTGCACACACAATATGCCACAATAGCCTAATCCTCAAACAGCTTCCAACTATACGGTAACATTTAGTCTAGTCCAGTGGTCTGCAAACTCATTAGTCAACAGAGTGGCAAACCGTGGCCACTGATCTAGAGAATTAAGAAAAAGCACTGATGGCTGGGCCCTACCCCAGAGATCCTTACTTAATTGGCATTGGGTATAGGTATTTGTAGAAACTACTAGGTGATTCTATAATATGTGAAACAAAATTCTAGTATTAGCACGCTACCAAAATTGTGCTTGATCTGACCTGCTCACTCCTCCCTGCCTCAGTCCTGGTCTCTCCTCCCCTGCACACTCTGCAGTTGAGTCATGCTAAGCCATGTGTCATCCCAAAGCGTGCCTCTCCCACTCCCACTCCCACTGCCAGGTGTTTGTACTCATGCTCACTCGGTCTCAAAAACCTTCTTCACCTCCCTCATGCCTCCCTTTTCATCTTGACTCCATTTAGTTGCAATCCAGTTATGCTAGTTTATCACACTAAACTATAGCCAATGACAACTCTGCCTGAATGCTATGGCTTCACTGATTATTCTCATGCTTGCACATAATTTTCAGGCTTACTGAAGATATTCCATCTCACACATTTCCCCATGTTGTTCAATAAAAAGCACATATTAAAATTCTGCTACAATACACCCTTCTCAAAAGACAACTGAAAAAGAGCCAAACATTTTTCCTCGATTGCTGAAAACCATCTAACCACGAGTGAATGATGCTTTTCCACATATGATGGAATTTTCCATTAACGTGTCTTACTGATTCTGGCCATATCCACGTGTGCTCTGGTCATGCCCTGTCACACACACTCCACCCCTGAAAAAGCAATCCCCTAAACTTGTTGAGCTCTGTTTCCATTTTTTGCTCCCTGAGTGAGAAAATGATAATATATATGAGCTGCTTGTTGTACAACACAGAATTATAAACTTGGTTTTAGAGGAAGAGGTAATGGTAGCAGAGAATATGCAGCTATTGTGGGATTCACCTGAGATTGCATAGTGTTTGCAGAATAGTCAAAAATAAAAGTCCTAACTTTGGATCCTGTTTTCCATTCAGAGGTCCTCCCAGTTTGGGAAATAAGAACAAGAATTCATCCTTTGTTTCTGGAAGCTGATAGCCTTGAAAGATGAGTTCCACAGCAGTGAGCCCCCAACTGGGATGGCCAGCAGCCCTTCCAAGTTCAGATGGAGTTGATGGGCACTTTGTTTCCATTATACTTGCTATGGGGACACCTTTGGGTTCATTTCGCCTTTCTACTTCCTCCTCTAGCCGAGTGTCACTTGCCTGGGATAGCTTTTAAGTGATTTACTTTATGGATGTTTTGTGTAAAGCACCGCACCTTCCCTTTGAGTTCTAAATTTAATTTTAGTAATTGGTTCGAATTTCATGTTACTTTTAAATGAGAACTCTTGTCATCACATCACCCATCACTTTCTCCATATTAGTGTATCTATTATTCATCTCACCAATTTATTGGCCTCATTGTTAACTGCTATCCATTTTTTATCATTTTACTGTCAAATAAAATTAACTCTCATCGCTTTCTTAATCAAGAAATTTTTATACGAATTTATTGAATACTTGTAAATCTAATCATTTTACACGAAGTTTAGAAAACTTGGGCAAAATGAAATTAAATGTCTTAGTGTTTCTTATTGCTTCAGTGTTCTGGAACAAAATGGCCCCTGCATGGTTGATATAATTAATTTGACAATTAACTTAGGCATAGGCCTCTGGGAGCTGGGTTACACTCAGCAAGTTATATAACCAGTGTGAGCTTCAGTGTCAAACATAGTCCTTGGGAGCAGGAAATGAGGTGACACCCGACGTAAGACCATCTTAATCTTCTCCAGCCCTCCTTCCCTTGCTTTTTCAACAAGTATTTCAGGTAGAGTTCATGAGACCCAGATGATAATGCCACAAACACAGTCCTTAGTCTCCTGTCTCTCAAAGAAATAAAAATAGAATAGAAAGAAATGAACTAGAAGTAAGTGATGAACCCTCATGGTTTTAAAAAATATGTGCCTATATGAATCTTGTATGTGTGTTAATAATATACTAGTATGTACGTGTGAGGCTTTGTGTGACCCAGGCATGACACTGATTTCATAGAGGATGACAGGGCAACTGTTAATCTGCAATTGCTCCTCATTCCTCACTATTGATTACCAAATTTGGAATTGGAATGGAGTTCTAACCATTATCACAAGAAACTCAAGTACAGGAAGGTGCACTCTCCCTGATGGCCTGTTATTTAGTTCCACTGACAGCAGATTAGTCATGAAACCCCTAGGAGGATGCTTTCCACTGAGCGTCAGACTCGGAAACGTCTCGGCTGTTTTTACAAACAAGCTAACCTGACGGAAGTTCATTTTCAGTCGAAGAATCTCATGCCACAATCATTTTAATTGTGTTTACTTATTCAGATACCACTCAGAATTGTTACTTTTTAGACTCTTTTTTTGACACCGTGCAGACATAAATGTCAGGGCATGAGGCAGATCCACGACCTAATTCTTACCAGGGGCCTTGAAGTAATTGCAGTGAATTCCTTAGCTGAAAGATGGGCAACTCCTGAGCTAGAAATGTAGAGCCTCAGAATTTGTAAGGGCCTTAATGATCTCTAGTCCAGTCACACATGTGAAGCTTAAATTTGCTCTGATATATCCCAATCAAATGAGATTAGACCCTTGAGAGTAAGCATGTCAAACTCAAATGCTAACATGTGCCAAATACACAAGGCATGAGGTCCATGGGCTGAGTTTGACATGCTTGCTTCAGAGTATCCTCTGCAGAGTTCTAGCTGTTCAAATTCTTGCTTAACGTAAATCCCATGGGTTCCACCCTTGGCTCCAGATTCTCTTAAGGATATATAAAGCAAGTCTGCTCAAATTTATGAGGCTTCAAACTTTTAAAAATATATATATTGATTGATTTCAGAGAGGAAGGGAGAGGGAGAGATAGAAACATCAGTGATGAGAAAAAATCATTGATCAACTGCCTCCTACATGCCCCACACTAGGGATCGAGCCTGCAACCCGGGCATGTGCCCTGACCAGGAATTGAACCATGACCTCCTGGTTCATAGGTCAATGCTCAATCACTTAATGGCACTACAGATATTAACTGTGAGACATCACATAGGTAGGACAGAGTGTCTGAGACACAAGGCTCAGAGACGTTGAAACCCCACTGGAGTAGGCATTCTGGGTTCTGGGTTCCAGCCCCAGCCCCACATCTACCCTCTGTGACCCTGGTTATTTGTTCCTAGTTTGCAAACTGCAAGGGTTGAATGCATGTTCTCTTCGAGTTCTTTCCAGCTTCACAAGTCATTTGCATTTTTTACTTTTCTGCCCCATATGGCAGAGTATCCACAAAGATAGTCAAAGAACCCAGACCCCTGATTTCCAGTTCAGTTCTGTTTATATTGGTTGCCAAGAACCATCCATAGGTACACCGTATAAAGCCAAGGATGCTTCCCCTCCTTTTTTTCTCATTTCAGAACACTATTCTTCAGGAAACCGTGCGGAGAGAGTGTGAAGAACGCTTTGAACTGACGGAGGCGTTGAGTCAGGCCCGAGAACAGCTCCTGGAGCTCAGGAGGCTCAGTGGGAGTTTACCGGTGACCCCGCGGTTCCTGAGCCCCGGCAGCCTCGCCGCCTCCGCCGCCGGTCATCAGGGAGAGAGAAGCCTTGCAAAACCCAACTCTGAAAGGGGCACCAAAATCCCAGGCCTGCACATGGTGCCCAAACCCACCCCTTCTCCAACCTCAGCCCAGGCCAAGAGAGCAAATGGCTCAGGTCTGCCCAGTCTCCTCCAGCCGCATCCTCCCCGGGGCCAGGTATCTTCAGTGAATGACACCAGACGGAGACTGGCCGCCCTGCTGCGGAGGAGACTGAACCAGCGGTGACCTACCTGGAGTCAGGAGCAGACAGATCCACACAGCGTGCATGTAGCTGAGGATGACAAAGAGCACGTGGCTACCCCAGATCAAGAATGCGTGTCTATAGACATTCTTAGCAAGAGAATTGAAACAAACAAACAAACAAACAAACAAACAAAAAAAACCCCTAAGGAGCTGGGAAGCCACATTTTCCAAGAGGCCTTTGAAATTGCAGCAAATAATGAAATTGTTGTGATTCCAGAGGCCAGTTTCTATATTTATAGAAAGTATGTTCAGATGTGCTCTCCAATTTCGCCCTCTCAGACATCATTGGTGAAATTTTCACCCAGAACATTTTTTCTTGTTTTACACCACTACAAGGCAGAGATATCTCCACACACACAAAAAATAGGTTTTAGTAGTTTCTTGCTGTTCTTTCACTTGTTTGCTAAGTTGAATAGGTTAAATAGATGTAATTAGTATTCCAAATAGAAAATAAAAGTTCGTTAGTCCTTGATTGGATAAATTCCAAAATGCTTAGTTTAAATATTCACAGAGTTCTTCATCCTCACCATTATCATCATCATCTTTCCAGCCTAATTGTAACCTAATTTCTTTTAAGAAATGACAGGTAACCTTTAAGAAGACATTCTTCTCTGGGAGTCTGGGGATCTTAAAAAAGGGGGGGGGGGCAAGCAATTCCAATTCAAGGAAAAACTAGTTTACTTTTCAAGCTATAGAGATTAGTATAGAATATAGAAATCCTGGTAATGAAACAATTGCTCCATAGAGATTTTCTACATTGAATGCTTTTTGGCATCAGAATTAGGCTTTGATTTGAACTTGTATTCTCAAGCCATTGAGAAGAGAACTAATTCAAGAGAGTTTAATAAAGGTTCCAATTTTATTACCCCTGAAAATGGGTAATTGGTTAATATGTTTTCTATTTCCAGAGTGAAAATTTAAACCAGAAACAAGACAAGCTATTTTAAGTTATCCTAAACCTCCAGGGTCTACCTATTTCTAAAAACACAACTCTTTATTTTAAGTAGTGTTCATCTATCTTTTTCTCCATTTAATACAAGTTAGATGGAGACTTGTTTTACTTAAATCCTCAATCAGACTGCATTATGGATATTCAGGCTTCTTACTCCCAGGTTAGAATGGTATATGATGTGTGAATATGGCAGGCAAAACTCTCTGGTATTTGGCTATCATGTTGATAGGATTTCATGTTGATAGGGGCACTTGAAATCCCTTCCCTGAGCTAAAAAGCAAAAGTTACTAAGCAAAATCAAGTTTACCTCCAACCTTTCAAAGATTGGTCTAATTTACCAGTGGTAGATTTGTTTCTTTGTTTGTTTTAACCTCAAAGAAAGCTCCACATTAGGTCTTCTACTTTCCCTGCCCAGTTTAAATAAGCACATTTTGTGTTAAAGCTTAGAATGCTTATTTTTGTTGTACAGAGATTGGTGTTCCCTATAATGGCATTTGACATGATAATGTAGCATCATAGAACAGTGGAGCTCGGTGGGCCTTGGATGCCCAAAGAGGTCTATATTGTCAGCTAGTTAGTTACAGAACCACTGTTACCTGACCCCAACCTTCCCACCTCACTTTTCCACTCTCCAGAGATTCCCTGGACTCCATCATGACTTTTGTCAGAGACACCTACACTGAATTTACCTAATTTTTCTTTAAATGCAATCACATTTTAAACTTTAATGTAAAAAAGAAGCATGACCAGAGGAAGAATAACTTTAATGAGGTTGACTTGCTAGTTAAGTTTTTTTTTTCTAATATGCTTAAAATAAATGTGTGTCTATTAAACTACTAAATATTCATTGGTATACCTTTAAAATTGCCTTGTATAATGTCAGTAGTAGTCATGTCAATTCTGGAGACTACTGCGCTAAACCTCAATGTTTCTGATCTGGTGTCTGTTTTTATTGAAAACGCTCATCATTAAGGGAAATGGCAAGAGCTAGTGAAAGCTTTAGCCAAAGCATAAGATAATATTTGGGACAATTAGATGTGCTCTTTCAATTGTGCGATTGTAGCTCTCTCTTCAGGAACCATAAGGATAGATACACTTTCCTAAATTATGATTATATTTAAATTTGTAAATAAAGACACACATAAGCTTTTCTAAAGCGATGTAAAAACTATCAGTGTGAAACCTGGTTTCTTGGCTTGTTGTTATTGTACACGCTTGCTTTTACAATGAATAATTCTGTAAATAATTGTTGGGAAACATCATGATCTGCAGTAAGTAAGGCTCTGTTATATTCCACAAGTGTATCAGAGAGGTAAGTCTATGATAGAGAGACAAGATTTACATTTATTTCAGCCTAGATGATTTGAATGGTACAGTCTAAACTGTGTTTATACCTTTTAAAGAAAGACACTTAAAGAAACAAGAGAAACATTAGAGTATGTAAACGGGGGGTTAGGAGCACATTCAAATTTTCCTTAATTTTCTCATCATGATGAACAAAATCCAATCATGAACAGTATCATCAATGCTAAGAAAGTAGTGATTATGGCAAAATAAGGCTCTCAAACGCATATAATGGATAGTAAGTCTGAAAGTTTTAATTTTTCTATACACATGCATTTTCCATGACCTCAAAGGAAGGATTTATAGGTGTCAAAAATGAATATTATAGAAAATATTTATTAGAGAAGTGTAACCCTAATATTGTTGGGCAAAGATGGAGAGCTCTATAGTTAACAGATTTTTCAAACAATTTTTAAAAGTCTTGAATTAAATTACTATATTTCTAGTTAGTCAAAACTGCTTTAAAGTTATATTTTCAGGCAATGAAATTGACTAGAAGACATTAAATTTTGTTAGACTAAGATTTTTTTATTATTTTTCAATGACTTCAAATGTTCTTTTCACTAATTCCTTTTTTTTTTTAAACACAGATCAACTTAAAGTAGTTTAGTAAGACAGACTTGTGAATTACATATTTCCTGCAATTCTATTTTTAGTCATTACTGAGGACTAGTGCCACTCTAACAAAAAGTCGGTGAAAGAAATCAAAAGTCTTTTAGCAGCAAATGAAACTATACTCCAATATTGAAGAGAAAATATTGTATTTTACATTTTTGGGAGCAAAGCTGGTAAATGATTAGCTTGTTGCTCGGATGTGAAACAATGTTCAGATTCATAGGTTTCCACATCCACCATTATCTACTTTTTTTTTTTTCTACTTCGTAAGTAACTTTGAATTACTTAAATGTTATTTTTCAACTAGAGGCCCAGTGCATGAAATTTGTGCATGAGGGATTAGGAGGGGAGCTCTCAGGGGATATCCAACTGCAATCAGGACCTCTGGCTCCTAACTACTCACCTGCCTGCCTACCCTAACCACTCTGCCTGCCTGCCTGATCCCCCTAACTGCCCTCCCCTGCCAGCCTGGTCACCCCTATTAACTTTTTTTAAAAAAAATTTTATTCCCTTCACACACAATTGTATTTTACTCCCTTATTGGCTGCTCCCTCTCACACAATTTTTCTCTCTCCTTTATGTAACACTTTTTCCTACTGACTCATCATTTATAAACTTTTCTTTCCTCCTTATTTCCTACTTCTGTTCCGTCATCCTTCTTTCCATCTTTCTCCTACCTGCCCTCCCTCCCCACATTCTTTCCGTTATCTTTCCCCCTTTCCTTCCTTCCCACCTTAATTTTTTTCTTCACTTCCTCCCTCGGACTCACTTTGCTTCCTCCCCCATTTCTTCCTTCTTCCCATTCTTTTAAGCTCTACCTGCTACCCTTTAAAACTTCTCTCTTATCCTTCCTTTCCCATACATTCTTCTCTACTTACTTCTACTGTTTTAATATCTATCTACCTGCCTAATTATTCACTATCATATTTTCTCTTTTGTAACTCCTACTTTTAAAATCTGTCCCCAGCCGAAACCGGATTGGCTCAGTGGATAGAGCATCAACCTGCAGACTGAGGGGTCCCGGATTTGATTCCGGTCAAGGGTATGTACCTTGGTTGTGGGCACATCCCCAGTAGGAGGTGTGCAAAAGGCAGCTGATAGATGATTCTCTCTCATCGATGTTTCTAACTCTCTATCCCTCTCGCTTCCTCTCTGTAAAAAAATCAATAAAATATATATTTAATAAATAAATAAATAAATAAATAAATAAATAAATAAAATCTGTCGCCAGTACACAACTATATTTGATTTTCATTATAGCTCCTACAGTTCACTAATATATCTTTCCTTCTTTAACTCTGCTCTCTACTGAATCCTTTATAATGTTCTTCCCTCTCTCCCTCACCCCCCCCCCCCTTTTTTTTTCTCCCTCCCTTTTTAAAGCTTCCATTTGGGGGGTTGTGCATTAACCCCCAGCCCAGGGCTCAGCCCTGGCCAGGTGTTTGTTTCCACCCCCACCCCCCCTTCTCCAGCCTCCCCACTACCATCTTGCTCCCATTCCCTGACCAGAACACCTGGCCCAGTGAGGGTGGCTGAGGCCCACATGGCCCAGGCACGGCTGCTGCTTCGAAGCAGGAGCTCCTCCGCCCAGAAGGCCTCGGACCATCCACCACTCTGTCCCAGACCTGTAGGCACCTCCCTGCTAATGTCCTGACCCGCGACAGGTGCACCTGTTCACCACCCACTCCACCCCCAAAGTCGCCACCCCCTCCGGCATGCCACCCCACATTTCCTTCCCTTTTCCATTCCTGCATCTTTTTCTTGTTCCCTTTCTGTATTTCTGTCTGTATGCAGGCCTGCCTTCCTCTCACTCTCCTTTCTTATTCCCTCCTATCATATCCTATCGTACCCGGGCCTTGCAGAGGGCGGGGACACAGCCTGCTGATCTGGTTGTGACGTGATGCTGTAACAAATAATTTGCATATTTGTCTATATTAGTATAGATTATGGTTGACATTCAATGTTATTTTGTATTAGTTTCAGATGTATAGCATAGTGGTTAGACAGTCATATACTTTACTAAGTGGTCCCCCCGAAATTTCTGCTACCCACCAGGCACCACACAGTTATTACAGTATTATTGACTGTTCTACCTATGCTATACATTTACATACCCATGACTCTTTTATAGCTACATTTTTTTTTCAGTTTGTACTTCTTTAATCCCTTCCCCCTTTTTCACCCATCACAAACCAAGGTTTTTAATGTTCTATTAGTCTAAAAAGTTTTTGTAACATCACAGATAAATTATAGCTAATTTATTTGACTGTGGAACACATTTTCTCAAGCTTTAGCTTTACAGTTCTTATGATTATTGCAGTATTGCACTGGTCGAACAGCCTCGTATCCTAAAGGGTTAATACACTGCAGCTGAACATTCCCAGTCTTCATGTTGCATCTTATGGGGCATTTGGAAATCAATTTGGTATGTGCCCAAGATTCACAAATCCTATAATAATTGTGGATTTTTAAAACTTTTTTACTTTTGTGTTTTAAGAAAATAATGAATGTACACCTTTAGTGGTCCCCAAACCGTGATAGACAATAATGGGATAATTCCCAAGGCAGTGCCCATGTTACCTTAAGAAAGACGTTCTACTGTTCCTTTTGAAATATTAACAGTGTAGTAATAAATTGGAAAGCCAGTGTAATTGTGTTAAATCTTTAGAATCTTAAATGAGTATATCATCTTAGTACATCTGAATTCACATATAAAATTTTCTCAACAACACAGTAGTTGAATCTGAAATACACATATCCTATGACAATATTTACCATGTTCCAGAAAGTCAAAAGATTTCTCCCTTTTCCAACATTTATATAGCATACTGGTTTATTCATTGAGAAAAAAAAATTACTAGATATCCCCCCAAATATATATAGAGAGAATACTGGGCCACAGAAATTAATTTGCCCAAAATAAATTCTAGATAAGACTGATGAATAATTTTTTTAAATATATTTTATTGACTCTTCACAGAGAGGAAGGGAGAAGGATAGAGAGCCAGGAACATCTAAGAGAAAAACATCAATCAGCTGCTTCCGGCACACTCCCCACCGGGTATGTGCCCCCAACCAAAGTACATGCCCTTGACTGGAATCGAACTTGAGACCCTTGAGTCTGCAGGCTGATGCTCTATCCACTGAGCCAAACTGGCTAGGGCATGATGAATAATTTTTAAACTTCTGCAGTTTCTGAACATTTGATCTGTAGATTAATACTGTAGCTCATTATACATTCATTCATTTCTTCAACAGATATAAAAAAAAAATTTAAAGCACTGTGCGACCTACAGAGATAATTAAAATACA